GCAAATTATTCATTCAAGCATAAGGTAGATCCCAAATTCACTTGGTTTCCCAAATCTAGTCTTTGATTAACATTATATGGGTGCTCTCACAAAAGACCTAGTGAGAGCATTCGATACCTGGACAACGTATGCTCACAACATATGACTGAAGATATGAAGCAAGTCATCTTGTTGGAGACCATGGTAGGAGGCAAAGTTACACTGTGAGACAATACTTCCAGAAAAGTAGTATGTTCAGGTATGATTGGTAATTCCAAAAATTTTATTATTGAGAATGTTTTACTAGTATATGGGCTAAAATATAACTTACATAGCATTAGCCTTATTATGTTGCCTTAAATATTTCAAGGAAAGAAAAGGATTCGATAGAGTAGATCAGGTCTAGAAGAGGATTCTCGGAGCTTGGAATATAAGGTACTAATTTTGTAATCCAATTTATTTTTTCTAATATATAGACATTTTTTTGGGTTATGTATTTATGTTTTGATGAAATGAAAAGTGATTATACTGTTTTTACATTTCATAAAATCTAATAGCTTGGATTGTTGCTATCAATGGATGGGCTAATTCATTTTAGGTTTAAGTAAGTCCAATTCTTTCATTAGATCATAGGGCATTACATATAATGGCCTAATGGAGTAATGGAGTGAGCAGGTCAGATTTTGAAGATAAGTATCTTTTTTATTTTTATATTTATTCTATTGTAGTCATGAATGTATTAAATAAGAATAATTTAAAAGATATATGCATGACTAGTATAAACGATTCTTTTAGAAATGAAAAACATGTTTTAATGAAATACAAAAATGAAGGTTTGCTTCTGCTATATAATTTTTTTAATATGGATAATTATTAATGGTTATGGTAGATGCTTAACATATCTAAATGTACAATTCTTCCAAATTAAATTTTTGGGTGTCACAAATTCAAACTATGATTGGCCATGTTTGAACAATGCTCGAATACTAATATAACCATGTTCAAACATTGTTTGATCATTTCTTGAACACCTTTTAAATCTTTCTAGAACATTATTTGAATCTTATTCCAACAATCTTTGAATCATGCTTGAACCATGTTCAAACAATGATAAGCATGCTAGATTATGCTCGAGTCATACTCAAATCTTATTTGACATTACTAGTACAAGCTTGTACTATATTTTTTTTTTTAAAGAAAATTTAGGAGGGCCTGTGCGTTAAATAGATAAAAGTAACAGGTCATTATAAGATCATAAGCTCGCTAAAAGGACAATAATTGAAATAAAACCTAAAGAACTTTGGATCCTACCTAATACAATGAAGAGAATAAAATTGAAATCAAAAGAACCAAACAATCACAACAAAACAACAGCAACAATAAGATCAACACATATTGGCCAACCAAAAGAGCACAAGCCACGAAGAGCATACTGATCAACCTAATATCTGAACTGATTAAGGCAATGAACACACAAACAAGCAACAAGAATCATAATAAAAGAGAGCAGGATTGTATAGAAGCCCCACTCAAACTACACCCCATACAACTAACATAAAATGAACAACAACCACACACAATCAGCCACCTGACAACACTATAAGGCCAAAAACAAACCCCTCCACAACAAATCATAACAACACCAACCAACAAAAAAATCGAAGACCACCAAAACAGCCAACCAGCCAATGAAGTAAAAAAGAAAAAGAATAACCGGGCTCAGTACTTATCTCATGGATTTACATCAATGACACTTGCAACCACGAAAGAAAGAGAGATTAATGACATGACTAACATCTAATCTATACAAAGAGAGCAGAATAGTAGAGAAGCCCCACTCAAACTACACCCCATACAACTAACATAAAATGAACAACAACCACACACAACCGGCCACCCGACAACACTATAAGACCAAAAACAAACCCCTCAACAGCAAATCACAACAACACCAACCAACAAAAAAATCGAAGACCACCAAAACAGCCAACCAGCCAATGAAGTAAAAAAGAAAAAGAACAACCGGGCTCAGTACTTATCTCATGGATTTGCATCAATGACGCTTGCCACCACGAAAGAAAGAGAGATCAATGACATGACTAACATCTAATATATACAAAGAGAGCAGGATAGTAGAGAAGCCCCACTCAAACTACACCCCATACAACTAACAGAAAATGAACAACAACCACACACAACCGGCCACTCGACAACACTATAAGGCCAAAAACAAACCCCTCCACAACAAATCACAACAACACCAACCAACAACAAAATCGAAGACCACCAAAATAGCCAACCAACCAACGAAGTAAAAAAAGAAAAAGAACAACCGGGCTCAGTACTTATCTCATGGATTTGCATCGATGATGCTTGCCAGCACGAAAGAAAGAGAGATCAATGACACGACTAACATCCAATCTATACAAATCATGCATGGCCTCAATGCAGAACACCCCCCCCCCCCCCCCCCCAGACCATCATGTTGTCTGCAACAGTGAAATCCGGAGATTCATTAAGCCAATCATATGTCGCACAAATAGACTCCCCCGATCTCAGAAAATAAATTGCAGGCTTAAGAACAATTTTGGTGAGAATTAATCAAGTAGGGACATTCAACAGAGTTTCGCAAACCTACCAATCCCCTTAACATGAGGAGGAATAACCTAGTACACCCATGATCCAAAGGGCAATCAGAATATCCAAAATTCACCAAAGCAATTATTAGCCATCAACACATGTTATGGACAAATCCCGCCTATCTACTCGTACAATTCGACAACCCTCTAGATATGAGTCAAAGCAATAATACAATCCTCCACCACACCATCTCTAATCAAAATTAACATCCCATTGTCCCAAGGATAGCCACATTAGGAGAAAAAAAATCATCAATATTATGGAAATCATCATCACATTGATCCTCAGTCAATGCAGCCTTATTTTCTTGCCCCCCAACATTAAGTATAGAAGGATCACAACGCATCAACCATAAGAAGCACAATTGATATATCTAGTGGAACAACAACAATCACATTGATCCACTTCAACCAAAGGGGATTATCTCTAGCCTTTTGTAAAGAATGAGCACACCAACAAAGCCCCGGCCTCTGCAAGAGGGGAAAACACACCAAAATTAGAAATAAAATCGGGATAAACGTGTTTTTAAATGATCCAAAGATTTACAATGAAAGCAATACGAGAGAAACCCTTCCATCTTCATAGATTGAATGTAACCCACAGATCAGACCAAACCTCACTTGATTAGGATAATGTTTAATAATATCTAACTCAACAAGTATACAATCCACCAAGGGTCTAGTACCATTAATAGTTGCATTATTGGTTCTCAAGGGTCTAGCAAACGAAGAGACCCTAAACCCTAGTAGATTTTTTTTTTTTTGGGGGGGGGGGGAGATGTCAGCAAAGATTGGGAAACAACACCCAAATGAGAATAATATGAGATTCAACATTAACATCGAAGTGTGGATACCACTTAAAGAGCTATATGAAATAGTTGTTGCCGAAATAAGAATGGTGGGAAAACACCTGACAATAATCCAAATCATTTCTTAGTTTAATCAAAATATTTTTTGAAAAAATTCACGAATCATATCAAGCAGTGGACGATGACCAGGAAACTTCCCAACTAAAGAAAATTCGAAGGGAGCGACAAGAGAGCACATTTCTTCATCTAAAATCATAAAAGCCGGCAAACCATGGAAGGAAGAGAGTTTGAGCTGAGGAAACGCTAGCGAAGCCGACTCCCCGGACAAAACCTCTCTAAAAGACCGTGAGACGTCAATAAATATGGGGTCACTCAAGCGATGAGTGGCCATGCCAGCTTTAAGGAGGAAACTAGAGAGAAAAAACAAGATTACGGAAGACGAAGAGAGATTACCCGACCGAATGAACAACCGAGAGCGGACGAAGAAACGCTAGATATCGTGCAGAAATGAGAACTGAGCGAATTGTTAAATTGCAAGCTTGTACCGTTCTTGAACTTTCTTCGAACAATACTTGAATCTTGATAAAAAATTGCTTGAACATTTCTTGAATGATGTTCAAACCTTCTTCATATCTAATTAAAGCAGTTTTTGAATCTTTCTTAAACCATATTCAATCATTGTTTGAACATTATTTGACCAAAGCTCAAAATAAGGTTCTAACATATTTGTAGTAGATAATGTGGTGTCTAGTATCATTTTGGGTTCAGAATTTAGAATGAGAACAATGTATTCAAATGTAAATAACAAAATGAATAATGTCACTAATCTTGAATTGATGATTAAAAAAAAAAATAATGTCATTGCCATTAAACTTTATCTAAGATCGATCATGCATGCTCATTTATCGCTTCAGAAAATGCTAGAAAAAAAAGAGTAATCAAACATCTTCTTATTCAAAAATTCACTTTAATCAAGAAAAAAATTAAATCTATTTGTATATTAATTAAAATAATTTATTTAAAAAGAACTTTTCACATATTTTATTAGGAAAACAAACATTCACCATATTTTCATCAATTACAAAGTGTAAAGTCAAATTTTTCATCTAAAGTTTCGTTTGAAATAGATTTATTGTTATTTTTAAAAATATTTTTTATATTAAATTATTACTTTAAAAATAATAAAAAAATGATCCCGAACAAAATGTGACATCATATATTAACTTCATAAAATCGTGTAGTCCGCTGTGGCGGTTTTAGTTTTCCACGCCAAAGTCACAACCATGTGGCGCGAAACAACGTACCGCTTCTAGACAGTCAACACGCAGCGCGTGCGGACATTCGTCGACGCCTCCTGCTCCGATCTCCTCCGCATCGTAGTTTCCATACGTCCTATAACGCACACCGTTTGATCATCAGAATACTGTCATCTACCGTCCGCGCGTCGGTGGCTTTGTTCAAATGGATGGAATTATGCGGGACTACTTGTCAACCGACCAAGGCTACACGAATCTTATTGCAACTCTAAAGCTCGATCAACCTCCATTTTTTTTCTTGCCACGCACCAGTGGTGGACAGGTGACTGTTCTTTTGGTGGGCCGTGTGGGTTTTTTGTTTGCCTTTTCTCGCCTGAATTAATTTGTAGGTAGTTGTAGTGAACGAAGGAAGTTTGAAGGAAAAAAAAAAGAGTTCTTTTTTTAGGAGAAAAAGGTTACCTTTTCTCTTCCCCAAGTTTTATTCCCGCTTTTGTCGATTCCTTACCGATCACCCATTTCTTCTTCTGTCTTTTAGGGTTTTCAGATCTCTGCGTGTTGTTTCTTAGGTTTTGGCCGCGGAGGATTAGTTTTTTGTGATGGCGAACATCGACATAGAAGGGATATTGAAGGAGCTGCCGAGCGATGGTAGGATACCGAAGACGAAGATCGTGTGTACGCTGGGGCCGGCTTCGAGGTCGGTGCCGATGCTGGAGAAGTTGTTGAGGGCAGGAATGAATGTGGCGAGATTCAATTTCTCTCATGGTTCGCATGAGTATCACCAGGAGACGCTGGAGAACCTCAAGATCGCCATGCAGAATACTCAGATTCTCTGCGCCGTCATGCTCGACACCAAGGTCTGTTTTTATCCGCGAGATAATTTTGGGTTTTGGTTTTTGTATTTTTGTTTTTTTTGTTTTTGGGACTTGTTGTTTTTTTTGTTTTTGGGACTTGTTGTTTTACCATATGTTGCAGCTTTTACTTTCATGATTTCTTTGCGAATGAATAATCTGATGATTTAGGTTGTGTGAATTTAGAAAATTATATTAGATTGTTGAATTTTATGGTTTTTGGTTGAAATGTGAATTCAATGATATTCAATATATCACAAGTAGCAAGAGAACTATATATATAAGACTTGGGTGTATGCCCCATATTAATGTTGGAAGTTATATTGGTTACTGAGTTTCTAAGTGATTATTTTCGTGAACCTTCTTGAGCATTTGAAATTATTCTTCTCTGGTACTTTATCATTGTTGCAAGACATATATTCACTCATTGCCAATTTTTAAGTAAAAGTATGAACAATAAGAAATCAATTAGAGTATGATTATCAAGTCATAAAAGGTAAGAATGCAATATTTCAAGTGTGCTGGTGTTGTCGTGCACACAATCACCAAATGACTATGCCAGACCAAATTTAGACAACAAGGAAAATAAGATAGTTTTTTGCACGGTGCTAAATATTATAAACATGTTTTAGTAATTAAAATTATTTACTTAAAGTTCATAAAAGTTTCTAATTGAAGATGAAGCAACTATATTAAAACTAAAAAAATGATGAAAGTATGTGTTTACAAAGCAATATCTTTTTTGCATAAATACATTTGAAAAGTTAAACTAAAATAAAGAACGTAGAGTATTTAATTAAATTAAAAATTGCATATACTTTCAACATTGTAGGATGTTGAAGGGTCACAAAAAAATTCGATCATTGAGTTACCAAATATTAAATTTGGCTAAAATCTATTACTTTTGATGTAAAAATAATTTAAAAACTTCACTCCTTCGGAAAAACTATTTAATAGTCGGTAAAATCTGAAATCTTAGAAGAAAAATAGTGATGAAATATAAAATTTTAGCAACAATTAGGATTTTTTATACTACAAGAACAATTTTGACACATGCCAGGCTTGACAAAACTTCAATCATGTGCATACTAACCACTAAAAATTTAAAAACTCAAACTAAGATAGAAATAATACAAAAGGATGATATAGGCCTTATTATCAATACAAGGAGATTAACCATAGAAGTAGTTGTTAAGACTTGTGAAGTGCTTAAAGAATATAAAATTGTAATTTTTATTTCAATGCTTAATGTTCTATGAATTTGACAAGCATTAGAGGTCCTATATATAACTCAAAAAAATGTTAATATATTAATTTTTCCTAGTCCATCAAACTCTGTTAAAATATAATAAGTTTTATGAATTCAAGGGCATGGGCGTCATGATTCCAATGCAAGGGAAAAATCCATGTACTATTAATATTGGGTTGAAGATGTCGAAGACAAGAAGAGGTGTAGTGGGAAAGATGAATTGATTTCTATATATCTTGCAAAATTAGAGCAATATAAAGAAGGAAACTAGGAGAAAAGCTGTATAAGAAAGATTATTATAGTCTTGGGAATATGCCATTTATTGTGATAATCTTGAGAGAAGAGTTGGAAGCTGCCTGCATGCTTCTTTCCCATGAACTATAGTATTGCTTTCAATTATGCATAATTCTATTATGCTTAGAAAACTTAGCTCTGATGAGTTAAATGTTTGTCACACAAATTTGAATTAAATGTTGTGCTTTCTACAAAATAATTTTGGAATCATCACAAATAAATATGTTATCTTATGACACAAGAAATATATAATATCCACTGTTAATAGTGTATACAATCCTTATATATAAGTTAGCTTTTAGAACAAGATGAATATATCCATCTGGTAAGACACTAAATTTGAATGTGCAATAAAGGGGGGGGGGGGGGGAAACTAATGGAGGGGGAGAAATCTAGGGTACCGACAGCATGTTCATGAAATAAATTCAAATTAAATACATGAAAATCTAGAATACTACCTGAACTTCCCATAATTTTTAATTGATAAGTATTTATCCCAATGCAACAACAACACCATCAAGTCTTTATCCCACTACGTGAGTTCAGCTATATTAATCATTTTTCTTTTTGCGTCCTGTTAAAAGTCAAATTCTCATTTAAATCTAAAAAATAAAGGTCATTTCTAATATTTTTCTAACCAAGTCTTTTTAGATCTACCTCCATCTTTCTTAAAATAAGCAAAATCTAATACATCTACTTTTCTAACCGAGTCATTGGAAGGCCGTAATTTTATGTGACCAAACCATCTAAGGCGACTCTCTCTATCTTATCTTCCACTGGAGCTACTCCATCCTTTTCACGTATATGCTCATTTTATATCATGTCCCTAAGAATAAAGCCACTCATCCACTTGAGCATCCTCATCTCTGAAACATTTAACTTAATATTATACTTCTCTTTTAATGGCCAACATTCTGCACTATAAAGCATTGCAGGTCTCACCACCATCTTATAGAATTCTCTCTTAAGTTTGAGTGGGATTTTTCTATCACAGAACAAGCCATATGCATTCCTCCACTTCAACCATCCAACTTGAATTATGCTAATAATATCCCCATCTATTTCACCATCATTCTAAACAATAAACCCAAGATATCTAAAACATGTACTCTTATTAATGACTTGATCGCTTAAAGTCACAAATCCCCACTAGATCTATTATTATTAAAATTTCACTCCATATGTTCAGATTTAGATCTACTCAATCAAAAATCTTTACTCTAAGGTTGACCTCCATAATTGATGCAATAATTTTTTATCATTTTATGTCTTTTTTTTTTCTTCCTTATGTTTAGATCCTATGTAAGTTTATTTTGTATGGCCCTAAAACATATCCTATGTAAGTTTATTTTGTATGGCCCTATGATGGAAAACAACGCTTGATCATGTTTGGGTTCGATGCTCTTAAGTAGGTTCATTCCATTGGTCCTCCACTTGTGTTTCTAACTCTCTATCTTGTATGGCTTCTTTGAATTTCCCTAATGACTATTTGAATTCCCTGCTACTATTTGGTTTTCCCATGTGGCTGTTTGGTTTCCCCATGTGGCTGCTCGGTTTCCATGTTGTTTTCTTGGTTTCCCTGCTGCTGGATGCTCAGTTTCCCTGTTGTTTTCTTGGCTTCCCTACTGTTGTCTGGTCGGCTTCTTCCCCTTGCTGATCCCTTTGTTGTTTGCTTTGACTTCTCCATGAATAGGCTGATTTGGTGTGTTTTAATGGTTGTTTTGGTGGCACATTTATGTGGTACAGTAAATACCCTCCCCCCTTCTTTCTCCTTTAAATTGGGGCTAAATTCCTTTGTGAAAAAAAGTTTTGGTGGGTGTGATCATGTAAAAAATCTGAGGGTTTTCTTAGCTTGTGAGATATTCTCCCTATCTTCTAATACTTTGTCTCAAAGTTCTTTCTACTTCTCCCCACGGTTTTCATTCCATTTGTATCTTTCTTCTCTAAGCTATTATAAGAACCAGAGGGTTTCTTATAAGCTTTCGAGCTGTCTTCTAGCTTCCCTCTACTAATTCGTCTTGAACTTCTTTGTACTTCTTCTCTCCACGGTTTTCATTTCATATGTATCTTTATTCTCTAAACTATTATGAATAGTAAGTGGTGTGTTCAGTTGTAAATCCTTTGAGCACATTCTCTATTTTTGTGATTTGTATGTGAGGTGACCTTACAAGGTTGTTCTAAGGGCATTTTAATATAGTTGTTCGGTTATTTTTTTGTGTCTTTCTAACAATTTTCTAAGTTTAGTTTCCTATTTAGTTTCCATATTCATGTTTGTTTATACTATATTGAAAGGGAGTGTTATCATTTGCATTCTTAGTGTTCTCCTACTTGGCTTAAGAACTTACGGTTGCATCAATTTGGTATCAGAGTCTTAGGTTGCATCAATAATTCAAGTTTACCTTCAACTCCCTCTCTAGTCTTATCAGCAAGAATATCATTAGCAAAAAACATACACCAAGGTACAACCTCTTGCAAATGTCTAGTGAGAACATCCATGACTAAAGCAAAAAGATATGGGCTTAAGGCTGAATCTTGATGTAATCCAACAAAAACAAGAAAATACTTGATATTTTTGTTAATTTCATAAAGGTCCCTGCAGAAAGCTTTTTAGGATTCAGACTTATGATTACCTTATCATCTGGTTTGAATTCCACATGCCTCGTGTTCACATTAGTAGTGGACTTCTAATTTTCATAATTAGTCATTAGCTTTATGGGAGTCTCTTCATCTAAATATAACAAAATATGCAAATAATGTAGATGGTAGAAAACAAGTAATGAAGATACTAGAATGCCAAAATGCATCAAAAGGTATTTATTAATGATTTATAACGTAATCCTATATGATGAGATGATAAAATTTTTGAAAACATACAAACTATGCAAATGTGAAATGACTTTTTGGATTAACAATCTCCTCAAAGAGATACAACCAAAGAATTTAAATTTTAATAAAAATGATTATCTCAATTTAAAAGTTGACCAAATCTTAAAATTTAAAATTTTCTAATGGCTTTTGTTATTAACAAATTCTATTAAAATATTTATACAATTTCACTTTCTTCCTAAGTGCTTTTATGAATTTTTATATCAAGAAATTAGGAGCAACAAAAAAATCAAATTTATTTTGTTTGACAGATTTTTTTTTTTTTTAATTTTCATTAGGAGTTTAGTAAACTTGTGCAATGAATTTATTATTTTCAATAAGCATAATTTGTTTGCTCTGACATTCTATGGAGTCACTTCACCATTTTGGCCAATGGACTTTTCAGCTGCAAAAGCATAATTTGTTCAGCTTCATATGGAGTAGATTGATTTTCACATAGGAGCTCAATTTCATTTTTCTGATTAGATTCGAATTGTGTTGTTTAGGTTCAATTATGTTCTTAGTATTAAGTTTTGTTTCATTTCTTAAGTTTTTATTTGCAGCTTTGGGTCTTAAATAATCTCATGCCAAATTTTAT